GCCAAGATAGGTTTACTTAATAATAATTTGAGAAAAGAGCAGTTTTGTTTAGAAAGAATTTGGTACAAGTGATCGTTGGAAAGAGTTAGTGATTTGCGTCTGTGGTAGGGTTTTATAAATAAAGATATAATATATTGGGACTTGTTTATTAATAAGGCAAACTGGACATGTCATCACTTAGGGCCATTTCAGCCTTTATTTATATTATCTTTTTAATTATAACTTTATAAATTACATTAATCTCATTAAACCCTTTAATTCGATTTCTCTAATTTATTTACTTAAACCTATTTACTTAATAAATCTCCTTCTTTAATTAATTCTCTTTCTCCAATTAATTTCACTTCCTTGATTTATTTAATTAATTGCATTAATGCGATTAATTGCCAGTATATCTATATCGAGGAATTGATCGTCATGCCCATTCTCATGTGAGGTCCTGGCATCTTAATTTCATCACATTTATTGGGCCTCACAACACAAATTAGAAGAGACAGAATATCCATAATTATTTTTAATTTCGTTTGGAACACCTCCTCAATGAGGGACAAAATGCATATCTATCTATATATAGAATCAGAGCACAAATCCTATCGTTATTGTAAAATTTCAGAAATTTCTGTTTACACATAACAATTTCTGGCCCAACTTTTCACCAGCTGGAAAATTTCCGAATATGATATCATATATACGTATGTATATAAATATCAATAAATAATACAATATCTTTATTAAAAAAACTGCTGCATCTGGCTAAGTTTTCTAAGTTCTGGTTAAAATAAACACTATCAGAGAAAAAACAGCTTTTGGCATTTGGAAATTTTGTGTCCTGCATAGAATGATAAAAAGTCTACTTAGAAATGCATGCGCATACCAGTACAATCACGTTTCTTGTGTAACATGAAATGTGGGAGGGATGGTTGAAATCGACTTTTTCTATGTCGCTTATGCTGATTTTTGCAGAAACCTTTTTTGGAGATGTTTATAATTTTCATTTATCCGTTTAAAAAAATGTTATGGGCTTTTTTGGTCAAGGATATGGTGCATAGTTAACATTCTTCATCTATGTAAATCATGAGTTACATGTGATATACCGATGTATTATGAAAGTATTTCGTTAACAGTTGGATGTAATATGTATGCATAATATGACTGAAATTTTTTACAACTATCACTTGTATGTACAAGACATGTACATTAGGTATTATATGAGAATTCATCGCATTATGATGATTATATCCATAAATAATCATCACATGTAATGACATTAAATAACTGTATTTTGATGGTCACTATAATTAAATTTGATCGATGTAATGATGTAATAATATGAGCATTGTATGTAATCATTATCGTTATGATTATATTTGAACAAGAAAATGTTGTAAATTTTTGAGCATTATCATTATGTGTGATCGCTATGATTATGATTGGTCGATATTATGCCATAAATTTTGATTATGTGTGATCACTATGGTTAAATTTGATCAATATAATGTGAACGTGCTATGACTATATTCTTGTTTATTGAGATTCGAATTTATGTGCATTATTGAATCAGAACTTTTTATAATATCGAGTACGTTATGATATCATTAAATATAAACACTGTAATTATATTTTTTTTTAGTTGAATAAATTGCTCATGCATATGTGAAATAGACCTTCTTAAAAAATAATTAAGGGCACAATTTTTTCTTACAATGAATTTATAGCCGAAAATATTTTAGGTGAAAACTATTGATTAGTATAATATGTGATAATATTAAACAGTATACGAGAAAATATTTACGAGTAATTGTTAATTTAAATATAAATTATACAATTAAGCACTATCATTACCATCTTTTTAATTCAACACTGTGACTTTCTAGAAAGACTTAAATTATGTAAATGTAACTTTTAAAATTCCAAACTTTCAAAATTCTTATGATAATATACTGATTTCTGTTTTTTAGGAGTAAATCTACAAATTTTGACAGCTATAAGTTGAAACTTAAACAACAAAAAGCTATGCAAAGAGCACATGCAGATTATCAACATCATGAATGAGAACAGCAATGCAAACGAAGTGAAACTCAGCATACTAAAAGACGAAAAATATGTATAGAAAAAGACATTCAAGCAGTTGAGGCATGTATTCTATTACGTGTTTTGGTAATGGATAATGAGTTTGTCTTGTTAAAAAAACAGTATGAAACTGGCCATATCCAACTGATAAAACCAATGCAAATAATGCATTAGCTGAATTCCGTGAAAATACAAGCTGTAATGCACTTAGGAAACTTCCTTGTGCGATTTGTTTCGGATTATTTTCATATGAACATTTAACTACTATTGATGCACGAGAGGTATACTTACCATTACTTGAAACTGACAAATATTTTGAAGAATCTTTATGGGAATTGATTTTACATATAGACATCCATATATAGATAACAGTGGTTATAAGATTTTGTTAGATAAAGATGGTTTTGTCAAAAGTAACACAAGTAATAGTGAAAATCCATTCAATTTTCGAATATGCTATGATTGTAAATGATCATTAAATGCAGGTAAAACACTAATACTTTCTCTGGTGAATATGTGGGTAGGAACAACACCAGAATGTCTTCACAGAATGATGATACCAGAACAACTCTTGATATCTTTGGGTTATATGTGTATAAATCTTATTCAGCTCAATGATTGGAAGCATACACACCAACCATGCTTTCTACAATCTTGCCTTTACCTGCTTACCAACTATGTGATCACCTAAAAGTTGTATTTGTCGGAGAAGGACAACCAACGGAAGAACAACTGAAAAAAGTGTTAGGTGTAAGAAGAAATAAAATTGCTACAGCTCTGGAATGGTTAGTAAACTACAACAATTTATATAGAAAAATTAATATCAATAAAACAACACTAGAAACATTGCCAGAAAATGGGATACCGCCTGCTTTATTGGCTACGATTGTTATAGTTGATATTAATCCTGAAATAGTAGAACACTATACAGGATATATGGTAGATCCAATTGATGAAGACAATATAAGTAATAGTATAGATCATAAAAATGATATAGAACAAAAATATGAAAAAACTATATTTGAAACACATAATTCTATAAATGATTCAACTGAATTAAGAAATTTGGATATGATATATGACAATAATATTTTTATTTCAGAACAAGAATGTTCATTAGAATTGCTTGGAAAAATGATTCAGGAGACGACTGACTACAATTCGAATGCAATTCTAATGCCATATTCGAATACACCTAAAAATGAATACACAGACCCGACTCTTTTACCTGCTGCATTTCCTACTTTGTTTTCTTATGAAATCAGTGGTCATGAAGATAATTACCACAAACAACACATACTATTCAAGCAATAAATCAAACATTCATTGTGGCTTAATAATTCCAAATTTAGACAATATCATTCATTTATTTTCACTGTATTCAATATGTTACAAAGGAGAAATATTGCATCAGGAACATACTTAATAACAAAGCAAGAAAATTTCAAGCAATCGGCTGAAATAATTTCGAAACTTACACCAAATGATATAAAAATAGCAATTAAACAAAAACAAAATAAACAATTGATAACAAATAGAGCAGTGTTCGAATTGTTAAAAAATGTAAATATTGTCGGTGAAAGAATTATGGGTTCACACCAATCACAAAAATAACTTCATAATGAAATTCGTGTTATTATTTTACGTGATGGTTCACCCTCACTGTTCGTGACTATCAATCCTGCAGATCTTTACAGTTTAATAGTGATGTTGTATGCGAGAGAAGAAATAGACATTAATAATTTACTTCCAGAAGAATTTCCAACAGCAACAGAAAAAGCCAGGTTGGCATATCTTGATCCAACTGCAGTAGCTAAATACTTCAATAACTTAATAAAAAATATAATTAAATTCATTTTTGGTTATAGGAAACCAGAAGGCAGAGTATTAGGTAATATAAAAAATTATTATGGCATAATAGAATATCAAAATCGTGGTGCACCTCATTGCCATATGTTAATATAGCTACAAGATGCCTTTAATCCTATTGAAATATGAAAATATCTTAAGCTTGAAAATTTCAGAAAATGACTGATGAATTATGTAAATGAAATAATTAAAGAGGATATCAGCTATCTCTGTACTGATGGTAATTATATAACTGATGAAATGTTAGATGCTGAGTACAAAAAAACCAAAAACTATGTTAGAAAAAAGAATACACCCATCAATTTTACCTATTTCAGATTCATGGTCTTCAGACTTTAACGAGAAGCTTCATCTTGATATTCTTAGGATAGCAAAATGCACATTATTCTATAAATGTAGCAAATCATGTAAGAAATATTACTGTAGTCGAACATCAAATTGTAGGTTTGACTTTCCCCATGAGCTAGTGGAAGCACCGGGAAAAATTTACCCAGAACTTGGGGTTATTGCCCTTCAACATCGCAATGCTTATATAAACAATCATAATCCCTACATAAATGCTAGTTGCCATGGAAATAATGATATAAGATTTATTACGGCTGTCAAGTTAGCACTAGCATATATTCATTATATCACAGATTATATAATGAAATCTGATGTAAATACACACAATTCATTTCTAATGTGTGCTATGACTTTGAATAAGTATATTACAAGCACATCGCATTTGGATAAACAATCAAAAGAATATATATCTAAATCATAAAAACTTGTTACGATGTGCTTCAACAAGATTGTAGGACAGACAGAAGTAACCGGACCTCAAGTATCAATGTACCTTTTAAATTTTAAAGATCATTATACACCAAATAAATTTGTTACAATATATCTTAACTCTTTTGAAACATATCTGTTCTCACAATATCTAAATAAAAACTTATTTAACTTGACATATTCAGAAAGTTCTGATACTAACAGTAATGATAATGAACCAGAACAAAATGAAGACAGTTCCAAATTTGCTGATGATGAGATATTTACTATAATAAATTTAGGAAATCGAGTAAATACAGTAAATTTATGCATTGATTATATGTACTGTAATGAACAATTAAGGAATATGTGTTTTTACAATTATGCTGCAACAATTCATAAAATAAAAATCAACAGTAAAGAACTGGACAAACTAAAAAGACAAAAAAATCGTAAAGGATATGCAACAAGAGTAGACCAATTTCTGTTTTTAGATGAAGAAAAAGAATGCAATGAAACTTGTGATCATGATACAATACATCCACAACACTCTACACACATGCAAGCTCATTGGTGACATAAAAATCAAAGAATACCTATAATATGCAGAAAAGGTATACCACGTAAGGATGATTTAAAAAATGCAGAATGCTATAGGCTTTGCATCCTTTTATTATTCAAACCATGGGTAACTATAAATGATTTAATAAATGAATATGACTCATGGCACGAAGCATGCGAAGCTTTTTTAAAAAATCCGAATTTAACACCACGAATATAATTCATAATCGATAATGTTGAGGTCTTACACTGATGTGCAGAGGAAACAATTTTAGACCATCAACTATGTGAAGTAGCTAGAAAAAACCCAGAAGCCACAAAAATTTGACAAATAGAAAGATCTATAGTAGGTTATGATAATATTGATGATATGAATATATTAGATAATCAAGATAACTTTGACAGCACATTCGCATTAGACTCATATAAAATTATGCGTTCAGGATTAAATAATGCAGAATTTGTTGACAGTGCTATGTTGCATTTGTATTTAAGAAATAAATTTAAAACCAAAAATAATAAACACTCAAACCTTCAAGAAAAAATCAAAACTACAGAATATGATCAGAATAACCAAGTACGATCTTCATGCGAAAATGATGAATACTTAATCAAAATATGGCAAGAAACTGTAGCATCAAGAAAAAAAATAGAACAAATAAATAATACTACAAGTACTGAAAAAACCTATATTTCAGGTCCTTCTTTTTACAAATCAAACCAAAAAAATCAAACTATTATGCAAGAAATTTCAATTAACCTTAACGATGAACAAAAAAATATCTTTTTTTTTGGTTTGTAATCATCATGAACAAAACTATCCTAACAACCCCAACAGACCACCACAACTATTAGTGTATTTGGGTGGCGCTAGAGGTACGGGAAGTCAGAAGTCATTAAAGCTATTAAACAGTATTTTGAACAAATTAGCAAAGATCAAACCCTTGTACTTTGCGCACCAACTGGCATTGCTGCATCAAATATTGGTGGTTACACTCTCCATTCTTTATGTGGATTTGGTTTTGAAGACAATGATGGATGTAAATATAATTTTTTACAAAAAATATCAAAAAAAGCTTTTCAAGAACATTGGTTAAACATTGAATACCTTATCCTAGATGAAGTTTCTATAGTGGGACAAAAACTATTAACATAATTACATGCATGTATTAAAGAAGCGAAATGCTTCCAGGATGATACCATACCCTTTGCCAGTTTAAACATAATTTTTGTTGGAAACTTTCTTCAGCTACCACCGGTACTTGATTATCCTTTATACAGACAAAATAATATTAACAAAACAATACACAAAGAAAATCAAAAACATACTACAGAACCTATAAATACACTCAAATTAATTGGTGCTAATGGAAGAGAACTGTGGACATCAGTGAAATATGTAGTAACCTTGAAGAAACAAATACACCAAGTTGATGACCCAGCATATGCAGCCATATTAAATAACTTACACCATGACCATCTAACACCGATTCAACATGAAACACTATATGATCATATAATAATAGAAAATGAAATTAATTCTCCAAAATGGGATAATGCTGTATACCCAGTTCAAAGAAATGATTTATGAATTCAGATAAATTTTGAGGCTGCAATTGAGCATGCAAAAACTCATAATCAACCAATTTATTATATATGCGCAGATGACAAATACAAAAACAAACCAGTTGATGGCAGCATTCGACAAAGATTTCTGAGTTTATCAGATGCAAAATCAAACCTCTTATGTGGTATATTACCATTATCGATAGGCATAAAAGTAGCTCTAACAGTTAATATCTGTACCAATAATGGCATGGTAAATGGTGCCCAAGGTGTGCTCCGCAATATTGTGTATGATAATGAAATGCTAATAAAAGAAGACTTGAACATTAACAATGAAGAAATCGTAATCTTAAATAAACCTCCTAAATATGTAATAGTAGAACTCTTAGATTACAAACCAGATTTGTATGAACAACTTCCACCAAATCATATACCAATTTAACCATTAAACGAAAATGCAAATATATATGCAAAACAAAAGATGGAACAAAAATAATCCAAGAATTTTAGAGAATACAATTACCTATCACTTCAGCCTTTGCAATTATGAAATTCAAATGTCAAGATACTATGTTAAACAAGATAATAGTTGACCTAGACAGAGGAAAAATAGGTGCAGGTGTATATGTAATGTTATTTTGAGTACAAAAGTTAAAAGATATCATAATATTACGACCATTTAATCAATCTAAATTGAACGTGACAATAGATCCTGATCTAGAAAGGGAACTTGAACGCTTAAAGAAATGCTCAAAAACAACTGAATATCAGCATTACACATAATAAAAACTATGAAAAAATGCTATAATTTACAATAAAGCATGCTAAAAATTGCACAAAAAATGAAATGCATAATACTACTCTATTAATGTAATCCAATAATTTATATCTAAATGACAATGACTAATAAACCAAACATATGCTTGTAACCAAATTAACTCAGACTCTTAATACGCAAAATTGAAGTACAATACATTTTAATAAATGTTCACAAGATAATACACAAAACGTTAATAGTGCAAATTCAAAAATTTAAACCTTATAAATTTATACAACTTTGAAAACCTCAAAAATACTCTCTCATAAAATATAATATAAAAAAAAAACATTAACTATTGTTCATTTTTTGCTCCGACCCCTTTTTCTACTCATATTAATAGCATTCCACCAGATCCATCACCTTCCTCTGAACAATTTTTCTTCACATTTTCATTAATAACACATCCGACTAATTTATTACCTTCATCAACATACACCTTATTGTCCTTAACTAAGCATTCATCCTCAATATAATCCGAACTCACATGTTCGGGATCTTTATCTTCAATCTTAATATGTTTAGATGAACAAGAACCAAAAACAGTTGATCGATTAACAGAAGTAGACAGATCAATTGTAGTTTGATTTATCTTCGCACATTTACTATTATTTTTAATAGAAGTTTTGGAAAATTTTCCACTAACATTTTGATGAGCAGATAAAAGTCTTGATCGAACTGACTTGTATAATCCCGAAGTAGATTGTGAATTTGAACTGGAACCTTTATTTTTATCCACAAAATAAGCATTAACAAAAGAGGTCTCAATAGCATACACGTATAAATCTCTCTGAATAACCTCCATCTGCCCTATAACAAAAAGTACTGAAACATCTGATCTAATAGAATTCGTCAAATGTTTAAACCGATTATTACGATATAGAAATACAACCTTAACGATAAAGCTATCATTCTGACCAACATAATCCTTCACAGACACTTTAATAATCGCATTTTCATCATCAACTTCTTGTGCTGCATCTTGAATAGCACCAACCAATGAAACTTTTAGTGGACACCTGTTTGAACCAGGATCTCTTCTAATTGTAAGATGCATAGATGACGCAACAGTCATCTGGACCAATAAAAAATTAAACCAAATGTTATCAACAATAACATATTACACAATAAAAATAAAAAATAAAAAAAAAATACTGATAACCTTTAATCTTAAATTCCCATTGTAATTTCCAATAGCAACCTTCCCACCAACACTAAAATACTCGTTTTTAACAAAAACAGATTGCGTATTAGGATCCCTATCATGATCATCTATAGGGACGAACAAGACCATCTCAATTTCATGATCTTCACTCTCAACAGGATAAACGCCAATCGCCCATACATGAGTTAAATTAGATTCCTCTTTAACAGACTGACGAACTTGATTAATCTTTATGATCGTATCGACATAGCATGACATCGTGCAAGTTATAGATTAAAAAAACTTTAAATTTTTTACAATAGACAGCATTTTATAATATAAAAAATGACAAAGCATTACATCACAATGACTACAATTTAGAATAAATAAATAAATATATATATAATACATCACGATTTAATAAAAATAAATAACGGCCACCAACATAACATAACTTTGACGAATTAATTACCAATTAATATCATCATTATTGACACATCAATTTAATAATACAACAATTATGACAAATAACTCAAGTTCCAAAAATGACCACAAAAAAAAAGTTGAAAAAAAACTAAACCAAAAACTGCATATAAACATGTGCATATAAGATTGGGGTGTATCCTATCGGTCAATTTACAAACATAGTGCACATCATATAATAAATTTTAATAATAAAGTTTTTTATAGATCATCAAGTAATAGTAAAAAATATAATAAATTCAAACCGCAATAACACTTGAAGCAGCGTGCCCACACGAATAAAACTATACTTATCGGGTTTGTTTTAACATACTCTTTAAAGCAAAAACGCTCTTTTTTTGGTTTCTTATATATTTTTTTATCTTAACAAGTAAAAATCGAAACCATTTGTTGTGTTACACAATATGCAACGATTCACAGGTAAATCTCAATGTTACATTTTTTGATGTTTTTATTAAAAATACATCAAAAACGAGAACTTTGCAAAGAAACTGAGAGTCTTCTACTGCACTCTAAACAATAAAATTAAGAAAAAAAAAGCTCTATTACTTTAAAGAACATGTTAAAACAAACTTGACAAATGTAATTTTACTTATGTGAGATTTTCTGGTTGAAGGATTATTACAGTTTGAATTTTATATGTTTTTTAAAAAAAAATTTATTAAATTTACTATTGTGACAGGCTTATTGGACGAGTTCAGGGATGGGGCAAATGCGACGAATTGTCGCTAGAAAAATGGTTATGCCGCGTAACGTTCCTCAAAGATAACAGAGGCGGTTTTACGATTTGGCACAAGGTCAAGGCGAT